TACGCTGGCCGCGAAATTCCCATTGGTTTTTGTACACTTCTACACTTGTAAGTGATGTGTGAATCTTCGTAAGGTAGTGAGGGAACTCCTGAGCTCAGCTGAGGAAACCAAACATGTATTTCAACACATATTGGATATGTACTCTAGTGAATTGAGCCAGTCTCTTGAGGAGGCTCGGCCCGGTCGTTTGGTGATGCCCTAGGTTTCGCCCAGTACCACACAGAGGACGTTGATGGTTTCCACCCCAGTTCACTCTGGGTCCAGAAGGAGGCCTAATGAAGGTGAGCGACCGTGCGATGATGGGTGGGCACTTCTCGTCCTCTATCTAGGCATGCCGTTGAAGGGGAAAGACGATGATGAGGAGGAGGATCACCACCACAGGGTGGCGAGCATCATAACGAATGCCCTGGTTGAGCAGTCACCATCCCACTGTGGTTCGGTGAATCCAACTCCGCAGCAACGACAACGTGTACTGAAAACGCCAGTTTCGAGAGCTAGTTCGGGTTACCCTGTGAACCTGAAAGCATGGTCCGACGAAAATGGTTTTTCGATTTCGATGAGGGTCTCTGCATAGGTCTCCAACGCCTTCGCCGACAGCTGTACCAGCGGTGATTACCCCCATCGATCAAGCTTCGATCGTAACGTTGAATGGATGATGTCACGCAGAGTTTTCTTCAGACTCGATCTTTGTGTGGAGCGTTGTCGGCTATTGCGCCACCACGATGCGGTGTCGATGGTCGTGTTATCCTTCAGTTTTTCAACGGTTGTTTGACGAGCAAGAACGCCACACTAGCATTGGAGACGTAGGCTCTTGGGAGGCATGTTAGGGCTCGGTGTGTGTGGGCTGAGGGTATAGAACTACGAATAGAAAATCAGGCGGTAGGGGGAAGCTCATTCCCAATGATGTTATCTCCGATATTACTGTGGACTAGTTTGTATGGATATCGTCTTATTCTATTCATACTGTCTACTTCCCTTCCCCTCCCGATACAGTGTTTATTCTATTCATACTGTCTACGTCCCTCCCCCTCCCGATATAGTGTTTATTCTATTCATACTGTCTACGTCCCTCCCCCTCCCGATACAGTGTTTATTCTATTCATACTGTCTACGTCCCTCCCCCTCCCGATACAGTGTTTATTCTATTCATACTGTCTACGTCCCTCCCCCTCCCGATATAGTGTTTATTCTATTCATACTGTCTACCTCCCTCCCCCTCCCGATACAGTGTTTATTCTATTCATACCGTCTACATCTTTTTCACCTCAAGTTTTCGATAGTGGGTTCTCAATTTAAACCTCTTGTCAGGCATTTTAACTCAGCAAACTTCGAATTCGAACTTTTTGATATGAAGTTCAGGAAGTTCTATTTAAAAATATTTAATTCCGATTTCCGAGTTGCCTTGAGAATTCAAAAAAACCCGAGTTAAAAAATCGTCGAATTAAAAATTGAGAGGATCGTTTTACTCTTTCAACTAGAGGTGGAAAAGGTGTAGTTTTCCCCTTCCAAGATAGTGTATATTCTGGTTGGAGTTTGTATAGGAAAATCTGTAAATATAGGTTATTGTTTGTTCTCCCATTAGAGTTGACGTAATTTCCACTGAAGAATAGTACAAGGCTTCGTTAGTGCGATATGAGAAATTCTCGATGGCAATGGTTTGAATTCCGCGGAAATTCAGACTTTTTGTAGTTGTTGAATGTTTCACACAGTGGGACTAGATGTTACCTTGATGAAGGGCTGCCGTCTTTGGTGTGTGTGATCAGATATTTCAAGTATAAGGAGGAAAAGATGCCGACTGCTGATCCTGCCATGAACCTCCAAGTTGGTGACACTGTGCCCATCAATGAGAATCTATTATTGCTATCAGGTTATGGACAAGGTGATCAAAGTGCTGGCCATGAAAGAGCAGTGGGAAGATATATGCAACATCTATACGGTGGATATGCAGCCATCTGGACTGTCACCGGGTGAGTCTCGCTGTTGCTGATTAGTGGCTATAGACCTGTACTGGTAGACCCAGCGCTGTGCAGTCTAATAGTGTTTGCAGCTGTCCGGGCTGGGCGTCATGAACTTGCTGATATGCTGTTCCGAGTGAGGAAGGG